CGTGTTAGTTTTTTGAGATCATACGTACAAAATAAACAAGAGGCTATTTATTAGTTTGTCTTCTTAGATGAGACTTGGATTTTCCAAAATGGTACCGTTCACCGTTCATGGCAAGATAATGACAAGCGAAGTGTTAGAAGTACCAAAGTTGATGGAAAAAGGTGGGCTTTCAAATGTATAGAAAAATAAGCCCTATATAAAAATGAAATGCGTTTGTAGGTATATCATAGTTCACGCTGGCATTGAAAATGGATTTGTTGAAGGTGCGTCGCTCATATTTTCATCGAAAACCCAGCTTAATGATTACCATGGTGAAATGAACCAGAAAAACTTTTTATATTGGTTTGAAAATCAATTACTAATAAGCTTGACCCAACCCTCTGTGATTGTTATGGATAATGCATCATACCATAGCATGTTATTAGTAAAAACTCCCAATAGCTCATGGAGAAAGGCTGAAATTCAGAATTGGTTAACTGAACAAAAAATACAGTATCCACATGAAGCATTCAAATCTGTACTTCTAACGATTGTTGCACAGTGAGCAGAATACCCAATCTTTATGCATTTTGTTCCTATTCATTTTTTTTAGGAATAAACCAACCAAAATGTATGTGGTCGATAACTTGGCAGAACAATATGGACATAAAGTTTTACGGTTACCTCCATACCACTGTATTTTTAACCCAATTGAGCTAATTTGGGGGATTGCAAAAAATTGCTATAATCGGCATATTGGCAGAGAAGGCCACACTGAAAATGACTGCCTAAAAATGTGGCAAGAGGCACTAAAAACTATTACCCCTGATATGTGGAAGAACTCCATTAGACATACAGAGGAGATAATTATGAAATGGTATAGAAGGGAACAAGTAATGGATAGACAGGAAATTCTTCCCCTTATTATCCATGTTAACGATGACTCTACTGATTCCAGTGATTCAGAATAGTTAAAACATCAAAATATATTCTGTATAATGTAATCAAACTCCGGAATTGATATACAACTAAACCATACCATGCGGTTAATATCAGGCTCGATAAAGAGTACTCCTTGCCGCTAGTTGCCGGTATTGTGTAACATCGCATCACCCGAGTTCTTTCTTCTCTTTGATGTGAATTGAAAAAGTGTTGTAGTTCCCATAACATAAATAAATAATCAAATTAATTAAAATACGAGAAAACAATTTATGTTCTTTAAATATTTTGTGTTTTTGAATATCTACCAAATCAGGTGCTTTTATTCAGAAAGGAATTTAATTTTACAACAAGTTTATTTATTTTTAATATAACGGTATTATAGTAAATGGTAGGTATATATAAACAATTTATTTTATTAAATTTATTTGCTTAAAAGAAAATGTGCAAATTCTGGCAACAGCGCACAGCTCCAGATCGATGACGTGCATCGGGTTTTATTTGGTATCCACTATATCTATATTCATGATGTCGCCCACAAAACACAATACTGAAGAAGTGGGAGCTGGACCTTGAACGATGGCAACATTGACGTTTGTCAGATGGTTGCGCCGCCTACTTGCCTGAAGATCTGGAGGGACTATCAAAGGAATGCCAAGAATGGATTGGAATAAGGAATGCTAGGAATGCCGGGGATTTCATTTTTTCATAATCTAAAATCTGCTGAAAATGATATTTCGGTAAGACTATACTTTAGCGCATATTGCAAATACTTAATTTCTTACTTTAAAATGAAAGATTAGGCTGTAACTTTTACGAAAATATAAATTTTTCTTTAAAGAACCCTCTGCTTGCTTTTTTATAGAACTTCGAAGTTGCATTTTTGGTGGTAATACTCTAGAATAGAATACTGTTTTATATGCTGTATTTTTTTGCTTTTTGTACAAAAGGATGCTCTAAATTATAAGAATATATCATACACTGTATAGTACTAAGGAAAATAGATGTGAAACTGTAAAAAATTGTTGTTTTTTGCAAAAAAGGTTCAAAAGCAGACGTGTTATAACACATTAGCTGATTAGCTTAAATAACAGATCAAAATACATACGTATATGATGGTATTTACTTGGTAAACTGTGTAGAGGTGTTGGTTTGTGATTTTTCAATGTTTTCCTGAAATTCCTTAACCATTTTTTCGCGTATTTTCAATGAGATCAAAGTTTTTGCGTTTATAAGAAATATTTGAAAGAAAAAAAAGCAATTCTGAATGGTCATTTTATAAGGCTTATTCCTTGACAGATAAGATAAATGATGTCCATTGTTGCCAAGTTGTACCTATTTTGGAAGAAATACCTAATTAGAAATAAGGTTATTTGCAAAATAAAAGTCTTAATTTATTCTAGATGGCTTGTTTTATGAAAAGTTGTCCCAATATTTACCGAAAACTAGATGAAATCTTGAACAGTATGTGTCTAAACAGTGGAAAATGCACCAACGGCTCGCGTGATATAAAAAATACAAAAGGCACCAGCGGTCATTGCATATAAAAATACCCAACGTCGATTCGTCGATTTGGAGCACCTCGCCAGGTCCACCAAACATATCACCGTCCAACATTATAGTTAAATAAAGAGCAACGATCATTTCATCAATTCATCAAAAAACCTGCAATGTTCTTTGTTATGTTTTCATTATTTAGTGATTTGCAACAGCTACTTTTTCAGTAATTTCTCATACATATCACATTTAATTAGGTACATTTTGAAACATCAGCTTCACATTCAGGTACATACATACAAAAAGTAAATAGATTATAACTATAATATAGGAAAAACAATAACCGAAGTACTTTTGTGAAGGGCATAAGGCATTCTTCAAAAAAGTCACAAGGTGGATTTAGTACAGTAAAACCTGCCGGCCACACCTCCAAATCGCATTTTCATGACAATCCGGTGCCGATTGCACATTTTTGCACTAGTATATAAGTAAGAATTTGACAAACCAAATTAAGGTATAGGTATTACTATCCATGATTTGGCAACATCGCAACTAGATGGAGAGAATCTGACAGTGACGGTGGTGTAGAGATGGGAATAATTATCTGAAATACAAGAAATGACTACTTAACAATGAACTATTTTCATCATTAAACTAATGCAAAATTGCATTATCAAGATGAACAGTGTCACAGTAACTTAGGCCCGTATCGTCAGTCGTCCCTACAATTGTAGGGAGCGTTTATGGCGTCCTTGATTGTCATACTTCTTTCTCTCCTTCAAAAATTTCTAGATTACACTTGTCATGTGTCAGCGTCAGCGCTCTGCTATTGTAAATATATGTTTTCTTTTTAAATTGTAGGAAATTTCAGGCTGATAAAACATGATATAGCTCAAAAGCAAGCACAATTTGATGCAAATAGATGTTTGTGACATAACCTCAAAATAGAGCGCTAACACGGAGAAGTAGAAAACTATGACAATCAAGGAGGCCATAAAGGCGCCCTACAGTTGTAGGGACGACTGACGATACGGGCCTTAGAGTGTATGTTATATTCATATAATTTTGAACAATCTTTTGTATAAACAATAAGAAAACAGCTTATAAAGCAGTATTTTATACCACAGTATTAGCACTCAAAATGCAACTTTGAAGTTCTGTATTATAGCAAGCAGAGGGTTCCTTAAAGAAAAAATGATGTTTTCGTGCAAGTTACATCCTAATCCTTCATTTTAAAATAAGAAATGAAATATTTGCGATATGCGCTAAAGTATAGTTCAGCCGATATTTTCAATATTGAAGGTATATATCATGAACATAATCATAAAATATTCTACCCAATTAGTTAGTGTAACATGTCTTTCAGCAGGTTTGCTGAGAACAAGGTTCAGAACTGCTAACTACAAGGATTATTAAGGGGCTGAATCCAGACATGCACTTTTAAATAATCTACCAACTACATCATGCTGATATGTTAAGTTCACTACCTACCTGTAGCACTTCATGACTTATGACAGACTCTCCTGAACTTCTGCATCTCCCACAATAGTCACCATACATCTCACGTATACCATCACAGCTACTGATAGTGTTGTTTTATATTTTATACTCATTTTCAATGAAATATCTCCGGAAGCATCAGCGTTGAGAATCTGACAAACGCCAAATTTAATATTTTTCATAATATTTTTACATTTATATAAAGATAGAGAATACCGGCAAGCAGCACGTCACGTGATGCCGGTAATGTAGTTTCCTCGATTTTGCCTGTAGATGTTGACTTTGGTGTTGCCAGTTCGCCCATAAGACCTTTCACCCCTCTGATGCCGCGATGTGCGTGCCGCACAAACCCGTTTGCCTCTCATCCCAACCGTGCTGAACTCCTTTGTCCATTTGGATATCGAGCTTGTGGAACAATTTACCTAAGACTTTTCCCAGTTCTAGTAACCTTAGGTACCGTAATTTCACACAAGAATGGTCCAATTTTTAGTGATCTCTTGGAATACGCGTTATAACTTACAACCTCACTTACTTTAAAACATTCTTATGGAGTAGCAAGACTTAAAAGTTTTCAAGAAGTTAGTTGGTATGTTTTGTTTTTTTCAAAATATTGTTCAAGTTTAACAATCTTTTTGTTAAATTTTGATCCATAAGGAATTTATTGTAATAAGTCGATAGGTAACTATTGGTGGAAGCATATAACCGAACAATAGTGTCAAGCAATGAAAATTATACTTGAAAAAAAATATTTGACCCACAAAAACTTCAAAACTCATTTATTTTTCATATTTAAATAAAAATAGTCACTCAATAGGTGTAATTTCTATGGTAATAAAATAATAAAAACGTAAGTTTAATACTAAAAAATGCTTTTGTAGCACAACTTATCGAGGTAAAAGGTAAGTTAAAAAATTAAAATAAACAAAACAAAAACTTTATTAACTATTATATAATAAATATATAATATATATATATATATATATATATATATATATATATATATATATATATATATATTAAGCAAGCTCAGGGCAGGGATTCTGAAAAGATGACGTTTTGTTAAAACTTGTTTTGGAGCATTTAACTTAATTTCGTTTTTGGCATACAATATGCAGTCCTCCTTTTCTGGCCATCGCCACAGTTTTCCACATTTTGCCATGCATTTTATAAAGGCTCCCTCGCTTTCTACTGTAACCACCTGCCCCGGCAGTAATCACCATCGTACTCAACTGAAACAAAATCATCTTTTTCGGGTAGAGAACCTGGAAGCTTCTGAGGTTTGCGCTAGTAGTATCTTCAGGTTTTTCTTCTTCTGATAAATTCAGTGAAGAACTAGAAGCCAAAGAAAAGTTAGTATCAACTTCCTCTTCATCGCTGCTTGAACTGTCTACTATCGCTCTCTTTTTCTGGATGACTTTCTCTTTCTTGGAGCTAGAAGGTAAAAGCATATTCTCTATTTCCTCTTCGTCTCTGCTCGGGCTATCTACTACCACTTTCTTTTTCTGCTTACGTTTGCGTTTCTTGCTGTTAGAAACTAAAGTAAAGTCTTTACTTCATCAGCAGAAATGCTTTTTCCTGCTACTACATTAAGTTGTTTCTTTATTTTTTTCCTCCAGTTCCGTCAACGGCTGTTTTTCTTTTATTTTCAATATATTGTTCATCCGAAACAAGCACGGGAATATTTTCTTCGACGACAGGGCAAGTATAACCTGGTAATCGTTCTAACACTTTAGTTGCACAAAGGGGAAATATGCCAGTTTTCATAAAACCTGACTTTAAATTTTTCTCAGCGTTTTCATGAATTTTTCTCCATAGCTTATTCAAAAGATAGGGAAACACATCCTTTGGTATGGTTGGCATTCTCTGACCGTCTGGTGTAAATTTCCAGGAATCCAAAATTTGCCTCCAATGACACTTTTTTTTGTATACTCCAACTACCACGAAGGCCTAAGGCCTAAGCACCCATTGGGTACCGTGGGGCTATAGGGGGATACATGGGAAAGGGGGGACGCCACACGGACTCTGGTGAGGGAACACGTGTGCATGCAACATGCACACATTCTGGTCTCACCTACGAGATCCGCCGGGTGGTACCTCCACGTTCGACAGTCAGAGATAGTCAGGAGACCGAAGAGTCTACTACTGCGGCCACCGCTGCTGCCTAAAACAAACACCGGCCGGCTGATCGGTAGCACGACACTCTGACCCACGCGGCCAACCGAGACACTAGAAAGGTCTGAAGAATGCAACATCCAACGGCTGTGTTAGATGTGTTGAGTTAGGAGGAAGGGCAATGAATGCGAATTTTCTTTCCGTTCTGCTTTTTTAAAGTCGGTAGAACCAAGGAAAAAACGAGTCTTTAAAGCTACTGCCTTCAAACCACCCAGATTTTGAACGGTTATATCGGGAATTTGGGGGACCACCTGTTGTTTTTTTTTATATTGAAGCAGCCGCGCAGACAGAAGCCTACATGCCGGAACACTGAGGCTGCTGTGAGTACCCCAAAGAAAGTTTATTAATACGATTTTTGAACTGCCTAAGGTTAATAGAACTGGGGAAAGCTTCCTCTTGTAGATTGTTCCACAATCTCGACACCTTCGGGACAAATGAGCGATCGTATCGGTTGGTTCTGGATGTGCGAAGTTCGACACGGTTAGGATGGGACGCCAAAGTCAGGCGGGTCTGTCTGGCAGGCACATCGCGCGGCGGCATCATGGAAGAGAGCTCTGAGGAGCAAAGCCCGGTGGTGTAACAGTAGAAAAGAGCTAGATTGCCGATGCGAAAGAGTCCCGAGACTGTCTGTTAGAGAAGAGTCATCGATCAGTCGGACCGCCCTCCTCTGGACAGCATCGAGCATGGATAATGTAGTCTGGGTGGCAGCACCCCAAATGTGTGGGCAATATCTGGGCTTTGTATAGAGTGAGAAGGTCATGCGGAGAAAAGTACTTCTTAGCCCTAAACAAATAGCCTAGCTTTTTCCCAGCGGCTGCAGCTATTGCCGAGATGTGTTCGTGCCAGATCAGGTCCTCGGTGATCTGGACTCCGACCAGCCGAAATGAATGACTCTTTGGCAGAACTCGACCATCCATCGAAACCGGGTGAGCGCAGGGACGCTTTTTGTTCATCAAAGCACAGTACTGCGTTTTGGAAGTATTGAACTGAACAAGATTGGCAGCGGGCCACAGCTGATCGAACGCTTTCGTGATGTCAAGAACAACGACATGAGCCTCACCATAAGACTGGATGAGTTTACTCCACAATTGCGTGACGTAAGCTAGGAGGTCCCCTGTGGATCGTTGGTGCCGGAAACCATACTGCCTGTCGCTAATCAATCTGTGTCATTACCCTTTTTATGAAACTTGTTGAGATTAATTACCAGCTTTTCTCATTTTGTTAAGTTATTTTACTCCTTTGTATTAAATTAATAAAACATGAAAATAAATTCCTTTGTCCTTTTTTCAAACCTTTGAGTTCCTAATATCGGGCATGTGGGATATTCATATCACCTACTAACCGATATTGGGAACCCAATTTTAAAAGACTATTTTGTACTCCAATGATTATTTGCGGTTATTTCGAAAAAAATGATGAATTAGAGGGATCTGCTTTCAAATTATACAAAAAGACATATTATGTAAATAATTACCAACATGTTAGCATTCTAGGTAGATACTAACTAATTTTTGTTGCCTAAAACAAAAAAGTATCCGATAATAGGCCACTTTCATCTACTTGATAATAATTTTGTTAATATGATCTCCAAACAATATACTCCAATGTTTTATAAAAGAAAAATAATATTTTGTAATCTTAAAAAAACAAACTTTTAGGCCCATATCGTCAGTCGTCCCCACAATTGTAGGGCGCGTTTATGGCCTCCTTGATTGTCATAGTCTTTTATCTCCTTCTAGATTACACTCGTTCCGTGTCAGCGTCAGCGCTCTCCTGTTGTTAACATATGTTTTCCTTTTAAATTGTAGGAAATTTCAGGCTGATAAAACATGACAAAACTCAAAAGCAAGCACAATTTAATGCAAATAGATGTTTGTGACATAACCTCAAAATAGAGCGCTGACATGGAGAAGTATAAAACTATGACAATTAAGGAGGCCATAAACGCGCCCTACAATTGTAGGGACGACTGACGATACGGGCCTTAGATAAAATTAGATAATGTCCTACCTATGGCTTAAATAACGATGCTGACAACTGCCGGTACACTGGTAGCATTTGATTCTAATATGTAATGAATTATTCTCATTACCATTTATTAAAGTTGACAGTAACATCACTGCCTGTTAACTTTGCCAATAATTTACTGTTATTCTATGTATTTAATCCTGTTGGATTTTCGTACATCATTGAAATCGTGGGTGGCTGGCTTGTGCTTAATGAGCATAAAAAGGCCATCGGGGGTGGTCCATCGGTTCTGTTAGTATAAAACGTTCGTTGACCTATAAAATGATGGGACTAGGTTCTGTTGAAGGTCAGGGTGGTATTTCATATTTTCGTTGCCTGGAGAGTTTTGAAAAGATAATGTCTTTGATGATCCTTATATAGATTTCAACGTGATTTTCACTTTGCCACTCTTGCGCTCGAGTCGTCAGATTAAAAACGCAGTTGACAATATCGCCTTCCCGACTCATTTTATTATCCAAATAAAAACGGTCAACTGGATTGAGTTATCTTTATTATTAAATAAAGGAAGCCTCTATGACATTTCTTTTTCATAAATGTTTTTTCAGATATTGAGCCGCACTGATGTTAACGTGGTTCATCTTGCAATTCCAATTTCCGACCTTGCCCTAAAGGAAAACATCTAGAAGTGTGAAATCGTACGACCTAGGTGGCCAATTTATCAGTCGAAAAATGAGGAATTAGCTGCTCACCGAATTGCTGTCGTAGAAAACCCTAGGTTTCAAGAGCTGTGCTTCAAGCCGTCTTGTTGAAACCAAACGTTGCAAAGATCATAAGCTTGGATTTTAGACAGCAAATAGTGTGTTTTCGTTGCAGGAAATCAACAAATATCACTCGAAATGCCGGTACGCGTTACCGAAAAGTGAAATTCCTTATTAGACCGCATTAAGGGGTAACTGTAATGGTCTAAAAAATAATAATATTGAAGGAAGTTATTAAACTTACGCAGCATAACTCAAACACTTGTCGTTATTTTCATTCGAATTTTATACAATATCTTTAAAATAACATTTTGTCGAGAAATAGATTTTCGATAACTCGATTTAATCATCATCGATTAAATGATCACTTTTTTAAGTCAAATAATCGCCAACTACTCAAGAATCAATTTTGTATTCTAAAAAGTCTAATCAAAAAGTTGGATTTTTTGATTTCATAAATGTTGTGGTGTTACTTCATCAAAGCGGTCTATTAAACCTCCATTGGGACATATTATTTTCTCTGGATGACATTGATCACAAAATTTCATATTTGACTGAGGGACACCAGCTTATTTTTAAAAAACACGCGCCGCTGAAAACGATACGTGTTAACAAACCACAAGCACAATTGCTGACAACCTAAATTAAATGCATGTTGAAAGATAGAAACAGATCTCTAACACAGTTCACAATTCATAAATCTGAATCTTGAATCCGCTACAAGGAACTTGGAAATTCAACATTATCAAAAATTAGACGTGAGAAAACAGTCATCTCCAAGTCAACAAAACAATGCAAAAATCCTTCACGGAACCTTGACATCAATTCGTATTCAGCAATCAAAAATAGTGATATTCATTTACAATCAAAAACCCGGTTGGGATCAGTGACTACGTCTGCTCAATTTTCAGCAACACAATTTCTATGCTAACGATGCTTTTCTGGTATAGGGTCGAAATATATATGATTAAATGACACCCAGACCTTAAGTTTTGACTAAAGTAATAAAAATAAGTTAAACAAACCATATACATTTGGAATCAGACAGATTATCATTTTCTCTGAAAATATACAGGATGTTCCATTGAAAAAATACTACTTTATTCGATAGCACTTTTCTGTGACACCCGGTATACAAAAAACCCAACTAGCAAAGTAGTGCTATAAGCTTTTGGTAAAAGAACCATTCAGCCATAAAAGCTCTCTATTGTTGTTGCTTGAACACAGTGGCGGCTCGTGAGGTAGTGCCACGGTGCCATGGCACTACCTTGTCTTCTTCAAAAAGAATATTTTTTTCAATCTTCAATGTTTTACTTTATTTTTTGCTTTTTCATTTTTTTTTTGGTATAAATTATATGAAGTGACAACACTGACAACGTGACAACACCGCAAGCACCCGAACCACGCGACGAGATATAAAGCATGCCTTGACCTTGACGTCATCAACTTGTGCCAATGTCGGGCCGGCCCAAATAAAAAGAGAGAAATTTTACCAGCATCGCATACGAGCGACAGAGATAACGCTACAATACACATTTTTATATGAGGTG